TACGGGGCTAACGGGGCCTTAATCCGCGCCCTAAACGGGGCCAAATGGGGCCTGACGGGGCCGTACGGGGCCTCTAACGGGGCCTGACGGGGCCGTACGGGGCCTCTAACGGGGCCTGTCGGGGCCTAACGGGGCCTTAAACGGGGCCGAGCGGGGCCTGACGGGGCCTTACGGGGCATAACGGGGCCTTACGGGGCCTTAATCCGCGCCCTAAACGGGGCCTAAAGGGGCCTTACGGGGCCTAACGAGGCCTTAAGGGGCCTTACGGGGCGGGCGCAGGCTCTAAGGGCGGGCGCAGGGGCCATGACGGGCCTCGAAGGGAAGGTGCGAAGCGCGCGGCAAGTAGGCAGGGGAGAAATTTCAGTGGTGGGCCCTTAAAAAAAAAATCTCGAAACTAGCTCTATACCATGTGAGAATGATAGACGAAAGAATGATTGAATTAGGAAATGAGAAGGGTACAAGTAGGAAACACATAAGTGTTGTACCCTCTAAGGACTACCCCACTACAGCCTAGACCGACTATAGTAAATATATGTTTGACATCTGCAGGGGAGCAGTCGTCGGGGGAAACGAGGAGGAGTGAGGAGCGGCGCGCTGCCGACCCTCGACGCAAGGAAGGCAGGGCGGGGCAGGCTAGGGCGGGAGGGGAGGCAGAGACCTGGGAAGACCAGAGACAAGGAGGCGGGAGTGCATGCCACGAAGGCGTGGCAGGGAGGGGTGAGCAAGGCGGTGGTGCCAGAGGAGAGTCTGGTGCGACAGGAGGCGACACGAGCAGGGAGGTGCTATCGGACCTGACGCGGACACTTGGGCAAACGCAGCTACCTAAGGAGGCTTGGTAGCCAGTGTGTACAGACTCGACCCAGGCCGGCGGGTGAACGTGGCCAGGTGACGGCCCGTCCGTGTACACGTGCAGATTGACACACGCTGACCCCCAGGAGTGGTGGTAGTGACTATCGCATCCTGGAGGGCAGCGGTACTCACCAAGTTCGTAGAGAACGAGGGGAGGTGAAGACATGACAGTGAGCCGGACGGAACCGCCGGACAAGGGAGAACAGTGGAGGAATGGGCAAGAACTGGGCCCCCTGAGGGGTCAGCAGTCTGACCGGGACAGGTGCAGGGAGAGGAGTGAGGGTGGTGCTGTCGCGAAAGAAACAGCGGGAAGCACCTGAGTCAAGCGTAAAGGTGTGCAAGGCCTCAGTAGGCGCAGTACCAGGGAGAGCAGACTCACTAGCACCTAGAGCAGCAGCCTCTATACCTGGGTCAGGCGGCACACACAGGTAACAGTCACCCTCAGCACTAACAGACAAGGCATACATAGCAGCAAGGATAGCATCATAGTCGAGATCAAAGATAGCAACTCCAGACCTAAGCAGCTTTGCCCAGTAGGGGCGCTCGGCCTCGTCACCAAACTATGCGCGCCAAGCGTCGTCTAGGCAGGAGAAGCAGCGGTGCTGAGTGTGAGGCTTCCCGCATATCTGACCAGCACGGTCACCCGTGCGAATAACATACAGGTAGCTAACACTACCCCCAGACGCCCCACGCTGAGAAAACCACTCACGAAGCTGCTGGGGCGAAGGGGTCTCGCTCCAACGCTGCTGCTGCTGCCGCTGGCCACCACCAAAACCTCCCCTCTGAACAACTCCACCCCGACTACCACCACTCCCACTGCCGCCACTACCGCCACTCCCACTGCTGCCACCACCGCCGCCACCAAAGCCCCCACTCCCGCCACCACTCCCACCGCTGCCACCAACTCCACTACCTCCGTTGCCGCCCTCACTACCACCCCTGCTGCCACCTCCACCACTCCTACCACCCTTGCCCTTGCTGCTGCGGCGCTTCCCACTAGCAGAAGCAGCCCTGACATCCTCAGCACCAAGGACGTGAACAGCAACAACAGAGGCGTAGGAGGGGGCAAGGGTGGAGGGGGAGCACCCCTCAAAGAAGGGTGTGCGAGGAGTGCCACGAGCGGCACCTACAGCGACTACACTAGTCTCAGCTGCAAGGAGGTGCTGCTCGAGCAAGTCAACAGTGAGGTGTGTGGGGTGAAGTGCGAGAAAGTGGTCCCTGACTGCGCGAAGAGAGTCAGGGAGGCGGGTGACTATGAAGTAGAGAGTGATGTACATCGGGGGGGGGGGTTCCTATCAAGGAACTCTGCTAGGAGGGCAGTGCGGTAGCGAGCGTCGCTAGTGCAAAGGTGGGTAACGAGGTCCTCTACAGTGGCCAAGACGGACAGCTCGGGAAACAGGTAGGGCAGTATAAGATGGCCTAGAGCAGTAGTGGCAGGGGAGGAGTAACGGGCGACTACAGCATCGTACAGTGCTTTAGCTCTCTTGTGCTGTCCGAAGTGAGCGCATTCAGCTAACGGCAGGTGGTTGCGAATGGCTAAGCGAGCAGCAGCGTCACGGGTAAGCCACTGTGAGCGAGTCGCACTGTCAGCTGTGGTGGGAGGGGCGAGAGAGGCTCCAGACGTGTGGTCAAACAATGAAACGTTGTCTCTAGATTCGCTCAGTAGGTACAGCTGTAAGTCATCGAGCCACGTGTCAAACTGGCTCAGACGGCCCTCATGATCGAACGTGAGGACATGGAGAGAAGCCATAGCGGGCAGAGCAGGGATGCGCGCTACCAGCAGAGCAGCATGCAGGCAGGGCAGGGCGGCACACGGCTAGGGTGGCCAGCAGCAGGGCGGGCAGGAGCCGGGCGGTGCAAGCAGCAGGGCGGGCATGCAAAGGGGCGGCGAGCAGGCTGCCAGAGGGCAGTGCGCAGGCTGCAAGGGGCGGCTAGCGGGCCGCAAGGGGCGGCGAGCGGGCCGCAAGGGGCGGCGAGCGGGCCGCAAGGGGCGGCAAGCGGGCCGCAAGGGGCGGCGAGCGGGCCTCAAGGGGCGGCGAGCGGGCCGTAGGGGCAGCGAGCGGGCCGCAAGGGCGGCGAGTGGGCCGCAAGGGCTGTGAGCGGGCCTAGGGGCAGCGAGCAGGCCACAAGGGGCGGCAAGCAGGGCTGCAAGAGCGGCGCGCGGGGCTGCAGGGGCGGCGCGCAGGCCGCAAGGTTCGGCGAGCGGGCCGCAGGGGCGGCGCGCGAGGCTGCAGGGGCGGCGCGCGGGGCTGCAGGGGCGGCGCGCGGGCTGCAGGGGCGGCGCGCGGGCTGCAGGGGCGGCGCTCGGGGCTGCAGGGGCGGCGCGCGGGGCTGCAGGGGCGGCGCGGGGCTGCAGGGGCGGCGCGCGGGCTGCAGGGGCGGCGCGTGGGCTGCAGGGGCAGTTCACTGGCTGCTAAGGGCAGCGCGACGGGCTGCTAGGGGCGACGCGACGGGCTGCTAGGGCAGTTCGTGGGGCAGCTCTGTGGTGGGCCCTAAAAAAATTTCGGTCCTAAGGAAGGACCTGCTCTGAAACCATGTTAAAATCTAGAACGAGAATGAATGAACTATGAAAGAGTTGGGTACAAGTACTAACCCTAATTGGGCTGTACCCCTTATGGGCTACCCCACTATAGCCTACACAAAGTAAGCAACATAACATTTTGACACGCTAGGAGCGCGCAAGAGTGCGCTAGGGACACGATGAGGGCGCTCTAGGGCTCGACTAGGGGCGCACTAGGGGAGCGACAGGGCGCTCTAGGGGGCGCTCTAGGTGCGCGACATGACGCTCTAGGACGCTAGGGACGGTAATAGGGTAGCTAGGGTAGGCAGGGTGGAAGTATTTGACCTAAACCTAATGATGATACCAGTGAAGAAACGAGAATGGTCTACTGGTAGAATATGACATACATGTACAGGGGGTACAAAACAAGATGTCATGCTTGCATAGTGGAAACCCAACATAGCCTAAGTGCACACCTCCAAAACATAAGTGACATCTGTGTGTGCGTATGTGTGTGCGTATGTGTGTGCGTATGTATGTGCGGGTGCGTGCGTGTGTACGTGCGTGCGTGCGTGTGTGTGTGTGCACAAGCATGCCATATTCAAGAACATATTAGGGGCGCAACTGTACATTGTGACAAAACTCGCTTCTCAGCAGGCCTCTTGATATCAGGGTAAAATACCCTTATGGCCCATACTATAAGGGAGGGTACATGTGTTCACTCTTGTTTTAAAGAGTTGTTTTATGAGGCGCCCTCAGGTACTCGCCCTGATGACTAAGACTATTGTCGGGTACCACCCTTATGCGATTTGAAGAGGGGAGGAGGCGGGGGGGGGGGGGGGGGGGGGGGGTACTGACGTGATTTGGACCGCGATTAGCGGCGTTTTGCCTGAGTCAGCAGAGTTGCGCCGCCAAGACAGCTCGCGTCGCCACTGCCACAGTCCCGCCAACTGTACCTGGCTCACCTGCAATTTGCCCGATTGGCGATGCCGCGCAGCGCCACACACATGTCCATCATGCAGGAGGAGTGTCCTGCTTGGTCCCATCTTCCCTCTCCACCAGACCCCCACCCACCGACCAGTCGCACTCACCCAACCCCAGTCCCCTCGTTTCATTTCTCCATCCTACCTCCTCGCGTTCTCGTATATGGTTTGCAAACCACACCACCACGCCTTCCTGCAGCTAGCGTAGTCCCAGCTCCTGCATAAACCTCTCTAGGCCTCGCCATGGCTGTTGACGAAACTGGTGATGGTGACAACGAGGCACGTCGTCAAGTCCAGAACTCAACCCCGCGAACGGGCCTCAACTTTTTACGAGGCCCCGCTAAGAAGCTTCAAGAACCGGAGCCCGTCGTCGCTTCTACCGAGGATGAGACCGCGCTGGATGAATCGGGACGTGAGGTGAGCTCACATGGAGTTTGCACAACAACGCCTGAACCTGCCCCTCCAGAAGCAATAGCACCTGTAACGGAGATTGTCGGTGCTGCTGGCGACTTTGCGACCAAGAAGCGGAAAGACTCAAGCGTAGTGCAAAGCAGTGGTGGCGGCAACCAAAGTTGTCTTTCTCGTGGGGGGGACGTGCAACCGCACAAGCGGACGACGAAGGCAGTGATGACGAGGAGGTGGAAGACGGCTTGCTGACTGTTGAAGAGATGTCCCGTTACCCGGAAATTGCTTTCGCTAATGCGCATAAGAGATTTAAGACGTCATGGGAGTCTCTATTTCCGTGGCTTATTCTAACTCGTGATGATGTCGGCTTCCCTATTCTGAGATGCGGCACGTGCTTGGAGCACGGCGTGGAAGGCGCGAAAACGGCGTATGGCAAGGGTGGCAGTGGAGGGCGTGACATGCAGAAGGGGAGCATCCAGACGCACCAGCGCTCCACTGCACACCAGGACGCACACGCCGTGTTGAAGTCGAAGGAGATTCGGAAGCTACGACAGGCGTTGCTCAGTGAGTTCGAGGGGCTGGATCGCAGCACGCTTCACATCATCACCGCTCTCAAAATTACCGTGTACACCTGCAAGTCGGAGGCGCCGATCACCTCCTACGTGGGCACCATCAAGTTCATGGCCGAGCTGGGAGTCCCGAACCTTCCCTTGGATTCCAAGGGAACCTACTTTTCGGAGTGAGTTTCGCCAGTCCGTGCAGTCGTTGTAGTTGTTTCTTTACCACTGATTAGTTTGCAAATTGCTAACATCGATGACTGTCTCATGCAGGTACGGTTTTGGGGAGTTGCTAGACGCTGCCGCGAAGTACATGCGTCAAGAGCAACTGAAGCAAATCGAAGCGAGCACGTACATCGCCATACAGCTCAACAAGAGTACCGATCGGGTGTGCGGCAAACACATGATCGTGTACGTGAGCTTCATGAAGGACGGTGCGAGCGTCTGTGAGTTTCTCACGTTGCTGACGGTGGACAAATGTGACGCGGCAAGCCTCGACGACGTTCTACTGACCCACCTTGACGCCGTGGGCATTGACCTGTCCAAGATAGTCGGAATCAGCACCGACGGTGCCAGCAATGGCGTTGTGGCACGACTCCGGGCGAGGAATCCCTATCTCGTGTCGTGCCACTGCATCGCACATCGGTAAGTCCGCCATCGTTATCGGTTTTAAGCTAAGTGTGTATTGTTGTTCATGTATTGCCCACTAACTACATTCGCTCTTTTTTTCTGTTCTACCTTGAGCAGGGAGGCGTTGGCCGCGAAGGATGCCGCAGAGAAGGTGCCGGAGTTCGAGATCATTGATCAAGCGGTGCGCAACGTGGCGGAACAACTATCGAGGTCGAGCAAATGTCATCGGCGATTCGAGCACCTTCAGGAGTACATCTACGAAACCAACTTGGAGCTGCAGGGGATCCACGCTGTGCGATGGCTCTATAGAGGGGAGGTAGTGAAGCGGTTCGCCAAGGTTCTGCCAGCGACGATCGTGCTGCTGCATGATTTCAAGCACCTGCTCTATGAAGTCGTGACCTCTTTCAGATTCCACTTCATGCTTTTTTTCCTTGCCGACATTCTTGCCGTGCTCAACGAACTCAACGCCAAGTTCCAGAAGCGCTAGGTGAGTGGTGGTGTCCACGGGGTTGTTCTTGTATGCCGTTGTTCCCCACCTTGTATCCCGTTTTCCCCACCTTGTCCCGGGTTGTTCTTGTATGTCGCGGTTGTTGTATGCCGTTGTTACCCACCTTACACCAACCTTTGACTGCAATTGTTTATCCCAAACCCAATCACAGGTTGACATCACGGTGGTCGCGGGGGAGGTGTCGCTCGCATGCAGGACTATCGAAGTGCGTTACGTGGACTGCGAGGATCGTTTCGGCAACGATCAGTCGCCCATGCTCGACGCGTTCCTGAAGAGGCATGGCAACCCGGACCACCGCGACATCAAAGGCTTGGACCAGAATGGTGACGCTGCAGAGCACAAGTTCGTGCTACACGAGCGTAAAATCCCAGGCCATAAGACTGGCGGCGACTACTACTCCTGCAAAGCGTTGTGCCAGGAGTTTGCAAAGGCCTGTGTTGGGCGTCTCAAGTTCCGCCTGGAAGACCTGAAGGACCTGGCCGGCTCCAAGCTTTTCCGGCCGTCGTGCTATCCCGACGACAACTCACAGCGGATGAAGAAGTGCCGCGAGTGGTTGGGCATGCTCGACCACATGTATCACCACCGCCTCTATGGTACGCCACCTGGTTGTGCTGTGCATGCAATGTTCTGTCTGCTCTGTGTGTGTGTGTGTACCTTAGTGTGCTGCTAAACACCTCCCCTACGCCCCGATCGCCCCTCTCCCTTCTCTCCCATCCAGTCAGGTGTGTGCTTCAAGGCATGCGAGAGGGAGCTGCCGTAGTTTCTGCACACGATGGATACCAATCACGGCAACCTGGGCTTCCACAAGTCGCTCTCGCTCATGCTCTAGTCAACTGACTACATGGGAGCTTACCCGAACCTTGTGCAGCTGTGGCAGGCTGTAGCAGTGCTCCCACTCAGCACGGTGGAGTGCGAGCGTGGCTTCAGTCGCCAGAACCGTATCAAGACGTGGACACGGAGCTGCCTGGGCGACGCCAAACTGGGCGATCTGATGACTGCAGCACTCCTGCCCACTGAGGGTCTGAACTGGGTGAATGTGGTAGCCATTTTCAATGCTAGCAAGAAGCGCCGTCCTGCCCAAGAGTTCCTGTATTGACTTGTGTTTTTTCCCTGCTAAGCTAAGCGTATCCTGCTAGAACCAGACCATCCCATATGTAGGTGCTGCTGTAGTTGCTCTTGTTATGTAGTTTTGTCTCTTATTTTACACTTCTGGCAAAATCAACCGTAATTTTTACCTAAACAAGGAAGGGTAACTACTAACTAACTTACTAAAACCAATGTGCACACTGACGAGCACGAGTAACTTTGCAGCAGACACAGATAAAAAAGACAGACATGGCTGGCCCACCCTTACATGAAGACCAACTTCTGCGAACTGGCCTTTTGGTAAGAGCACATCCAATCCTATCCAAAGGCCTGCTTCTCAGCTCAACCATCTCCCACAGCCAAAGCAGTGCACATGAATTGACGTTTGACAAGCGTCACCGTTATGACGTCATCGTACGGCTATTTATAAATTGCTGCAGAGGGTATTGTGGTGAAACTATCAGACATTGTCCATCCATAGCAAAACAAAACAAGCACTACAAGTGCAGTTTTGTGGAAGGGAATCGCGGGCCTGCAATGGCATGTCTACAGCTAGAACCCGCTCCATCAAACTGACCAATCAGGTCCAACTCCATGCCCGCACCATCTGACCCTGTGCCCTTCACACCCACACCCCCTCCATCCACTCCAAACCCTGATCTTGAGCCCAGAGATACAGACTCAAATTTCACACTGTTGCTTCCTTGGTGAAGGAACGAGGCAGCAGGGGCACTTTCAGAGGGCAGCTGAGGAACCCACAGGGTGGGATCACTTCTCCCTTCACCAGCAGCCCCTTCTTTGCTCCCTGCCGTGCTGACCTGCGCTTTTGCAGTTGCAGGCTGACTGCTTGCCGTGAGTGGGGTGTTGTGTGGGGGAGGTACAACTGGGGAAGGTGGAGGCAGGGCGGGTGACGAGGCGAGTGCGGAAACCAGTGGGGAAGATGCTCCTGGGGAATTGAAGCCGAGTAAAGCAGCTCGGATGTTGGGAAACATAGCTGCAGAGAGCAGGTCAGGACTGGGAACAGGAGGCATTATCTGCTGCTGCTGCTGCTGCTGATGATGATGCTGCTGATGCTGCTGCTGCTGATGCTCCTTGTGCTGCTGTTGTTCCTGCTGGGCCTGTTGCCAGCGGTACCATTGAAGGTATTGCGCCTGAAACTGCTCTAACTCCTGCTGCTGCTGCTGCTGCTGCTGCTGCTGCTGCTGCTGCTGCTGCTGCTGTGTTTGCTGTTGCAGTTGTTGCTGCTGTGCTTGATGTTGCAATTGTTGCTGCTGTGCTTGATGTTGCAATTGTTGCTGCTGTGCTTGCTGTTGCAGTTGTTGCTGCTGTGCTTGCTGTTGCAGTTGTTGCTGCTGTGCTTGCTGTTGCAGTTGTCGCTGCTGCGCTTGCTGTTGCAGTTGTTGCTGCTGTGCTTGCTGTCTCAGGTGTTGCTGCAATTTCTCCTGCACCTGCTGCTGCAAATGCTGCTGCAGCTGTTGCTGTTGCTGCAAATGCTGCTGCAGCTGTTGCTGTTGCTGCACATGCTGCTGCAGTTGTTGCTGCCGTTGTTGCTGCTGCAGCACTTGCCGCGCCTGCTCTTGCATCTGCCTAACCAGCTGGCTCTGAACAGCAGCGCTACTCAACGCTCCGGCTGCCGCCACATCATTCCCTGCAAGGTAAGACAGAAGCATGCTAGACCTCTCACTGCTCTTCAGCGAAGCAGATTCAGGCCCTTCAGCAGTAGCTGCTGCACCACCGGCAGCACCACCAGTGGCAGCTGTAGCATTAGCAGCAAGGTTCAGATTTATCCGATCACTAAAAAGAAGTCTTCCTGCTCGTGCTCCTCCTCCTCCTGCTCCGTCTCCTGCTCCTCCTCCTGCTCCTTCTCCTGCTCCTAATGCTACAACTGCGCCCCCTCCAAGTCCTCCTTGCTGCACAGACGCAGTTGCCAATCCGCCTGAGGCCTTACCGAGCATCATCATTGCAGCTGCCTGTGCGGCGGCGGCCGCATGCATTGATCCAAGAGGCACACCACCAGCACCACCAGCACCAGCGCTAGGGCTAGTACCAGTACCACCAGCACCACCACCACCAGCGGCAGCGGCCGCAGCTGCCGCCGCCGCAGCTGCAGCAATTGCTGAAATCGCGGCCGACGGAAAGCCAGCATCAGCAGACGAACCTACACTTCTGCTCAGCCGCAACACTCCAAATTCCTCCTCACTCACGCGCCGTCCGCTCATCACGTTCATCCCAGACTCTCCACAGCCCTCCCTCCCGCCCTGACTCGCTCTGCTCGCTGCTCCCTCCGCCCTCCCTCCGGCCAGCAACATCGACGAGTCTCCTCCGCCCTCCATCCAGCCTTGGCTCACTCTGCTCGCTGCTCCCATCAGCAGAGCCGCCGCGTCAGCAGACCGTCGCGGAGCACCAGGGCTGCTTGTGAGTCGGCTCAGAAACGGATCTGATCTGAGCCCGCCGGATTCTGGCCGTAGCGGCGAGTCTGCCACCCGGAGAGCACGCGGGCTGCTCTGGAGTCGGCTCAAGAATCGGTCAGATCTGAGCGGCGCTGCTGCTGCTGCTGCTGCTGCTGCTGCTCCCAGAGGCAATGGCTGCGGCGAGTCCTCACCCCGGAGGGTGCGAGGGCTCCAGCTGTTGCTGCTCGTGCTAGCGTCGAGAAACAGGTATGGCCGCTTGCCTCCAGTAGCAGCAGCAGCAACAGCATTGCGGGGAGCAACAACATTATCAGCAGCAGTGTCGGCAGCAACAGCGCCATCGGCAAAAGCAGCGGCAGCAGCGGCATCAGCGTAGCACATATCCATCGTCGTTTTAGATCTCTTGCGCGCGATTACAGGCTGACCCGGCCGGGGAGACCGACAGCTGCCGCCGCTGCCACCACCACCGCTATTGCCGCCACTGCCGCCGCCGCCACCATTGCCGCCGCAGCCACTGCCGCCGCCACTGCCGCTGCCAGAGGCGGCACTGGTGGAGGATGCTGCAGCGCTGCTGTCCCGCGCCACTGGCAGCATGGCGGCTGCTGTCCCAGCAGCAGCAGCAGCAGCAGCACCAGAGGCAGCACCAGTGGCGGCACACGCACCAAGATGAGTGAACGTATTGAAGCTGCCAAGACCAAGGGCAAACGCGGGTACAGAAGAATCCTTAGCGTCAGTCTCTCCCAGCTGCTGCCTTGTGGGCTTCTGAAAGTTCCCAAAGAGCGGTGATTGCGAGCGCTGCAGTAGACCTTCCGGCACCCCCGGCGGTTTCTGAAGTGCTTCAAACGGAGACTTCAGACGACCCTCAAACGGCAGTGGGGATTTCTGTAGAGGCGTTTCAAATGGCGATGGCGCCATGACCGTTTCCTGCTGCTGCTGCTGCTGCTGCTGCTGCTGCTGCTGCTGCTGCTGCTGCTGCTGCTGCTGCTGCTGCTGCTGCTGCTGCTGCTGCTGCTGCTGCTGCTGCTGCTGACTGCCCAATGCCTCCAAGAAGTTGAAATTAAATACCCCAGGCTCTTTTTTCCGCTGCTCTATCATCCCGCAGTCACCATTGCCACCACCTACCAGTAGCAGAGGCGGCATTTGACCTGGAACCACAGGATTCCCGCTGGGAATAGTACAATTAGTAGTACTAGTGGTGGGATTACAAGAAGTAGTAGCATTGCTCCCGAATGGTGAAGGAAACGCGCCGTCACTAAGCATCTTTCTGTCCCCAAAAGTAGTGCTGGCGCTCTCAGTTCGGCCCTGCGGCGCCACAGACTGCGGCCGCGGCGGCTGCTGCTGCTGCAGGGGCGGCTGCCGCGGCTGCGTGCGGGGAGGGGACGCCGCTGCCGCCGTTCCCGGCGTCACCGCGGGGAGCTGGATCTGCTGCGGCGGCGGGTGGTTGTGCTTCTCCCGGCACCACACGCGCCGCGGCATGAGCGTGCGGCCGCGCCGCTCGAGAACCGGAAGCGCGTCGAGTAACTCCTGGTGCTCCCTCCAGTCCGTCCCGCTGCCGCCACTACCTTCCCCGGCGCCATCTTCGTCACCCGCTGCCGCCGCCGCCGCCGCCGCAGCCGGCGAGCCTACTAACGGTGGCGAGTTGGATCCCAGAGCGCCGCCGCCGCCGCCGTCGCCGTTGCCGTCGCCGGCCCGGACGATGATGGGTACGTTTTTGGAGGATGCCGCTTCTTTCGGGACTTTGTCGATGATGAGTTTCGCGGGACAGCCGGTGGTGTCGCGCTCCGCGCAGTGGTAGTAGAACCTGCAGTTAGTAAGACCAAAAGGAGGAGAGCGGGGAGCAGCGGAGGCGGGTTATATAATAGGCCGTGAAGTCTCACGAGTTTTGAACCAGCGGCAGAACGTTTGGCGGCGGGAGTGGGTCCGGCGGCCGTGTCGTCCGTGTGGTAGCAGGGAAAAGACCACTGGCAGAAAAGGAGGATTTTCATCCAAATGACTTCACAACTGTCCGCGCGTCCGCTAGCGAAACGTTGGCGACTCAAGCCGCGGGACAGACGCTTGATGGAGGAACAGGAACGACGCGAGGCACTGGAGTAGCGAGGGAAATGTCGCGGAAGCCGCTGCAGGTTGACTTGATTCCATGGTGTTATTCCATATCATTTTCTGTGCACCATACGAGACGATCGACTGGCATCCTGGAGATGGTGAAACCGCGTCTGGGGTGAAGTGATGTTTATCGTGTTTCCACGAACAGGTTATCACCTTTTGGCTTTCTGCGAGACGAGAAATTTCTGTCCGTACTTTTTCCACTGATACGCGGCTTTCTCTTCCGTGCCGGCCTTTCCGCCGGCCTCGGTGCTTCCTAGCATCACTAATGTGGCTCAAGGTGTCGCCTGGCGGGTTGCTTTACTACAAACAGCTCAAAAAATTCTTGGGTGACTCGAGTTCAGAAATTTCACGCTCGCACGCAGAGATTCGTTGAGGTAGGTTGGCATACGCGTACTCAGATTGCAGGCTGCGACACGTAAAAGCGTAGAAATACGTATCCCGCGGATCAGCTTATCATAGAAAATTAATCTATGGTTCCGTCTTTCAAGTTCAACAAAAGCCGGCGATATTATCACCAGATTGTGCTGCATAAGGAGCTGCTGGGGTGGTTCTGCTTGAGGCAAGAGGGGAGGATGAGGGAGAGGGAGAGACAGATAGGGTGAACGTTCTGTTGTGGTGTGTGTGTGTGTGTGTGTGTGTGTGTGTGTGTGTGTGTGTGTGTGTGTGTGTGTGTGTGTGTGTGTGTGTGTGTGTGTGTGTGTGTGTGTGTGTGTGTGTGTGTGTGTGTGTGTGTGTGTGTGTGTGTGTGTGTGTGTGTGTGTGTGTGTGTGTGTGTGTGTGTGTGTGTGTGTGTGTGTGTGTGTGTGTGTGTGTGTGTGTGTGTGTGTGTGTGTGTGTGTGTGTGTGTGTGTGTGTGTGTGTGTGTGTGTGTGTGTGTGTGTGTGTGTGTGTGTGTGTGTGTGTGTGTGTGTGTGTGTGTGTGTGTGTGTGTGTGTGTGTGTGTGTGTGTGTGTGTGTGTGTGTGTGTGTGTGTGTGTGTGTGTGTGTGTGTGTGTGTGTGTGTGTGTGTGTGTGTGTGTGTGTGTGTGTGTGTGTGTGTGTGTGTGTGTGTGTGTGTGTGTGTGTGTGTGTGTGAGGGAGGGAGGGTTGGGATGGGAAGAGTGGACGAGGCTTGATGAGGTGCGAGTACAAGCGGCATTGGTTCTTGAGAGGGGACACCAGACGAAACAAGCACCAGACGAAACAAGCCGAGGAGAGAGAGGGCAGGGGGGACCAGGTCGGACAGACAGGCTGACTCAGACTCAGCCAGTGCAGGCATTCCAGTGGGTTCGCTGTTGATGGGTGCACTGTTCACAGTGGGACATGATTTGGCGCCGTGCCTCAGCCTCGATTTGAGTTTTGGAGTTTTGTGAAAGAAGGAATGCCTCGTCGTGAGTGATTGAACGTTGCGCGCGCATCCAGACTGTTTCTGAGCTAAGGAGGAGGCTTGCTCGGATCGGAGGAAGGCAGATGCAGCGTTGTACAGTACACCGCTCTGTACGTGTAGATTCGGTTGGGATCAGGGCTGGAGAAGCAAGGCCATTTGGCCTTAATGCCCTGAGCATTCCAGGTTACGCCTGGAATAGCTCGACCGTTTAAAGTGCTAGAATGGCATGACACCCGTGACAGTTAGGGCCTTGTTTGGGCCTTCCCCTGAATCCAAGTTTTGGTTTCTGTGTTGAGCACACCCCCCCACCCCCCATCCGCCGCTGTCTCCCCACCCCCTCCATGACCATGCCCACGAACCCCTCCCTCCTATTTTTTTTGCCTACGATGTAGAGGCTGTAAGATTGTTGAGCGCTGAGTATGCACCTTCCCTCTGCTAAGTAGAAGGCACGTCCTCCTTTGGACATTAGGTAAGTGACTTTCCTTAGAAGCCCGGATTTTAAGCCTTGATTTTGGCCTGCGCCGGTGAAAATCAGGGCCAGAATTTGAGCACCTCAGGACTCAAAGTTTTGGTCCCAGGGACTTCGACAGCCCTGGTTGGGATGGGATCTCGTCTTGAAGGACCAGCTCGCATTCTACGCTCTGCTGAGGGATGCCCGAAAACGAGCCATTCAAACGAGAGTGGAAAGGATGGCAAGCTTATCCAACGCGGTAGCTTTCACGCGCTTGTGTACTGTATCACGCCGATGGCCATATGGGCGTCCTAGAATCTGCGCTGTATCAAGGATGCCATGTAGGTGTACAACCCAGGTCAGCATCAAAGACGAAGGCTGCTGCACTTGTTTTCTTTGGCTCATTCGTCTCTTGAAAAAACCCTATCGGTAGAAACATTTACGCTAAGAAGCCCAAATCTGACTGTGGGTTGTGGATGAGTAGGAGCAGCAATCAAGTCGTCGAGAACTCCAGGTGTCTGTGTACTGGTAGAAAAACCTAGAAAGGTTTTCCTTGCTGATGAACACTCAACTCTTCGAGGACGTTCTCGTCGCTAGCTACGTCATGCACAGACGCAATTACGCGGTAACGCTAAACAAATCCAAACCAATCTCCACATACAGTTAAGACTTGCAGGCACAGCAGTGCACACACACACAAACCTCCAAGTAGCTGGAAGGGAACCAGTTTCCGTTCCGTATGTACTGTACGTGTACATACCCACTCGATGAGGGGGGGCCTGGGGCTCCCTTTGTACACCAAACAGCAGCTCTGTGGGAAACGAGAAAGTGGGTTCAGGGAACCGGAAATGATGGTACCGCGCGGTGAAAGGCGGTTCTTTTCCACCACTGCGCACAGCAACGGAACCAATCACGACGCAAAAAAACGGTGAAAAAGAGGGGCAAACTAGCTGATTTGCAGGGACATCCCCTCCCCTACCCTCTGTGTCGTGAATATAAAGTACGTGTTACACTCATTTCAGCAGGAGACCAAAATCTGAGCCCGCGACCACTGAATTGGAGTGATCTTGGTTGTCAGCGACATCTACAGTTACAGCTCCATTCTTCCAAAGTGGACAAAGTAAATTCGCGATAAATGCTCCCGACCCGAAGGGCGCTCTCCTTCCAGAAACCACTGGAAGGGGTCGTGTCACAAGTTGCACCAGCAGCGTGTCTGTTTGTCGCGTCAAAGTGTGTGTCAAAACCTCGAGATTTTGCCATGGAAGTCCACGTCTAGAGTGCACGATTGCATCAGTTGAGGAGGTGTAAGAAAGGAATGTTCCCTCCTGCCCCCAAGAAAGGTAATCAGATAAATTTAGTACACCATTTTAATACAAGCGTGTTCTATACAGACTGCATTGCAAAAAAAAAAAAAAAAAAAAAACCAGCATGTTCCATACAGTGTCAGGGCGGGTCCAACTTTGCACATGTACGCTTTATTTTCAGCTCAGTTACCCTTTCTTTAGCATATAACAGAACTTCTATCGTGATGCTGGTGATGTATCAGCCTGAATCCATAAGGCCGCCATGGCTGATCCTGAGAACTTCGCGCGTGTCAATGTCCAGCAATTTCTTGACATTTGTCGATTTGGAACCTAGATTCGTACTCCTTAAGACTTCAAGAGTCCGTTGGTACATTTTTGGTGTTCATCAGACGAACATTTACCATTCGGCCTTATTGTCAGGCACTTTCCAGGTCCACATCGACAATGGTTTCTGCTGGGTGCGAGACAGTTCCAAGGGACCATGCCAGTCTATTTCCAAGGGTGTTCGAACCGAGGCGCTTCACAAGGTCATTCTACACTATTTATACAAGCGTTGGTGGAGGGACAAACACAAGTCAGGAAGGGAGCTTCCAGTGCTCAGTTTCTCTCCGCTCTCAACTACCGCATTATCCAGCTGCTCTTATCATCATCGCACTATGGCTCCTCCTGAAGGGACTCCCGTGGTGGACGCTCCTGTCGCGGGTCAGCATGGCAAGAAGCCAACGGAGATCCGTCCTGAGCCGGTCACCCCGAAAACGCTTTTCAATGGCGCGACGGCTTCGCGTGGTGATGACGCTATCAACACACTGACAGCGCGTATGTCGGCGTTGCGTATCAACGATCTGCAAGAGGAGAGCGGAAAGTCAAGCAGCCATAAGGAAGAAGGCAAGGTATCGGCTGCTCCGCCTGCAAGCTCAAGCGCGGTGGAAAAAGGGAAGGCTAAGGTCCAGGAGGAGGATGAAGACGGCGGTTACCTGAGCGACGACCCGGATGAGTGTCAGGACCCAGTTGTGCTGAATGACATTGCGGCTCAAGCAGGGGTTGCCATCACGCTGCTGGTTCCCTTCGCCTGGAGTAAGGAGATTCCGCGCATCATTGGAACGGTCTATCACCTGCTGAGGATGTGGGGGAAACACATGTCGGAGAATGCAAGCGCAACGACAAGATGTCAGCAACTTACGGCTACTTTCCTCTCGAAGCAGCACTTCGGTCGAGTCGAGGTGGTCTTCCTGCAGGAGGCTGACGCCAATTTCATGCGTGGCAGGGAGATTGAATATTACACGGTGAATGAGAAGAAGTTAACGCTTGGTTGGCTGCATCCGGAAAATAAGGAGTACCTGAGAGAGCGTGCGGCTCATCCTGAGGCGATTGAAGTCCTGCTGAAAGGGGTCCCGGCGGTGATCTCACCGGCGATGGTCAAGAAGAACCTGGTGACTGCGGTGCTGTTGAAGAGGGGTCGTACTGCTTTCCTGGATGGGTCGGCGTTTCACCGGGTGCTGGATCCGGTTTCGGGATCAGACACGGACAAGATTAAGGGCCTGGTGTTCAGGCATCCGGGGGATAAGTATAAGTGGTGGCACAAGGTCACCGACCGCGTCCTCGGAGTGGAGCTGATGGTGTCGTTTCCTGCTCTCACCTGTGGTTTCTGCAACGGGATACATATGTCATGCTTTCATGATGATTATGTGAAGGAGCAGCGGAACAACATTGGGAACTGGAATCTGACGCTAATGCGTGCGCATGAGATCAATGGTAACTCACCTCGCTCTCACCTTGTTTTGCAGGCGGTCGCAGCGGCAGATCCCACGTCTCACCTTTGTACCGTCTCCCCTCCGAGCAGCTGCTTCCATGAAGCTCACTCCGGCGATGAAGACTCTGCTTGCGGACCCGGCGATCGCTTTCGTCTCCACAGGAGGTGTTCGGGAGGAGTGGCTGTGCGCGCAGGAGGAGTGCGGGAAGACCCATGGTACCAGTTTTGAAAAGGCGGTCGAGCACGTGCAGTCAGTTCGTCACGGCACTGGGTTGCTCAAGGCTGGCGCAGCGACCCGTCTGAGCATGGGGAAGCAGGCCCTGGGCCAAGTCAAGAAGGATTTCAAGATGTGACGGGTAGGCTGGTGGTGGTGCTGACGCTGGCGAGGA